GGAATACTCATTCTCACTGAAATACTCACTTCATGTTTGTACATTTGCTCCTTTGGGATCGTATTAATGGCCAAGGTGCAAATCACACGATGTCCCATACTAGTTTTCCTGTGTGCAGTTACTCGCGATAATTTCGCAACATCCCTGCCTCTTATCCTTTTCTTCGGTTTGTACGGATTATTTGTTGGTTAGTATATTGCCGATTTTCGTTGTTTGGGTTAAGTTTACCTGTTATTTCCACTAATTTCCACTGTCCTAATTTGGCCACCTAATTAATTGACTCTAATTACGCTATGTAATTACCTTTGAATCAACCCCGCTTGTTGACTTGTGCGAATTAGATCCATCTAGCAAAGTATGAGTATGAGGTATGTTTGTGTTTTATGATCTGTAGATTATGAATTATGAATCTTGAGTTTGAATTATGACTTATGAATTATGAAGTATGAGCTTCAGTTTGTGCCTGTTTGGTTAATTAAATTGGTCGGATTAACATATAAAATGTACTTGGAGCATGTGTAACAACCCTGGAACCTAAGTTCAGCTAGTTACAAGCGCTAAAAGGTAAAGAGCGGCTTTTACCTCTAACGACTCGATTCTACAAATTAAGATTGTGGGATTCGTGCGGTGCGCGGTTAAGGAGTGAAATCCAAAGATCAATATCTTTCAACAATTAAATTTATTCAATAAGAAATGAAACTATCATCTGCAATAACAACAAAATAAGAGAAATACATAAATTATAAATGATTAATTAGAATAAAGAAACTAAATAGATCAATAATAATAATAATAATAATAATAATAATAATAATAATAATAATAATAATAATAATAATAATAATAATAATAATAATAATAATAATAATAATAATAATAATAATAATAATAATAATAATAATAATAATAATAATAATAATAATAATAATAATAATAATAATAATAATAATAATAATAATAATAATAATAATAATAATAATAATAATAATAATAATAATAATAATAATAATAATAATAATAATAATAATAATAATAATAATAATAATAATAATAATAATAATAATAATAATAATAATAATAATAATAATAATAATAATAATAATAATAATAATAATAATAATAATAATAATAATAATAATAATAATAATAATAATAATAATAATAATAATAATAATAATAATAATAATAATAAT